CCTTTGTACTCCTTTAGGTGGCTATCTGCATGGGGTGTCTAGGATACTTCCATGGTTCCTGTAAGAGCAGATTTATTCAGATGTGGTGGCACACACCTGTAATCCCAGCACTTGGAGGGCTGAGGCAGAGTTGGCATAAATTCAAGTCCTCTACAGTATGGGCTCTTCCCTCCAAGCATTTAGCTAAAACTGAGAGCTGAGCTAGACGATCTAATAGTCTAGGACCCTAAGGATGCTTCTCTAGTGTCTATGGAACATGGGTAAATTCTTATCATCATTAAGTGATAAGCAGCAGTAATGTGGTAAGGGCTTGATTGCTTCTTGAACAGCAGCCCCATCACCCCCCAAACTTGTGACTGTTACCCCTTTCTACCTCAGGTGGAGTACGGGGACTTGGAGAAGCCTATCCTGCCAAGCCCTGGGGGCACACCTCCCGCCAAAGCTCAGCATCTCCTCCAGCAGGTCCTCGACAGGTTCTACCCAAGGCGCTATCGAAATGGAGCACCCCCTGAGCAGCTGAGGTAGGCTGGAGGCCAGGCCGTACAGAGGAAGCCTCTGGGGGAACCTCAGGGCTGTGATGAAAACAGGTGGGCCCTTCACCGACACCATTTCCTTCTGTCCACCCAAACCAGGCACCTGGCAGATACGATGGCCACCAAGTGGGCAGCATTACAAGGCTGCTCCCCTTCTGAGTGCATCCGCATCTACCTGACTGTGGCTCGGAAATGGCCTCTCTTTGGTGCTAAGCTCTTTGCTGCTCAGGTGAGTGACGGGAACAGGAATTACCAAACCCCCAGAACGCTCTTTCTCCTTCTCTGCTCATATGGCCCTCAGTCCAGTCTGCAGCCCCCACCTCACTGTCAAAGCCCGGAGCTGCCATCTCCCCACCCATCTCTGCTGCTCCAGGGTTCCCTGGTCCACAGTGGAGTGACAATTCCCTGTTTATCTTCAGGCCTCCTCTACTGACTTGGCAGTGCTTCTCCTGCAAAGACAGGGTCAACTAACTCACACGTGAGGGTTCACACTCACAGTCGGAAAGGCAACACAGTGTGAAACCTAAACACACGCCTCTACCGGCCACCCAAAAGCCCAGAAGTGGAGAGAGGGACCACCCAGGGGAGTCAGACTACTCAGACCACAGTTACTTTCACTTCTGCATGAAGGCAAACAGTAATTTCAGCTGGAAGTTTTCCTTAGTAGGTGTCTGGTCTGCGTGAACTTCACAGATAATCACAGGCATTACCCTGTGACCAGACGTTATAATCAGACGTTGAGACAGGATCTAGGTCCTCATCACTGCAGCTACAGATCAGAAAGTGGACATCCACTCACCTAGCACAGACAGATAGGTTGTTGAATACATCATATTTCTAGTTCTCGCTGTTTAATGTTACAAAAAAAGAACAAGGGCTGGGGAGATAGCTCATAGGACCTGGGTTCTTCCATAGGACCTGGGTTTGATTCCCAGCCCCCATATGGTGGCTCACAACTGTCTGTAATTTCAGTCTTGGGGGATCCGACATCCTCTTCTGGCCTCCTTGGATACAGGCACACATGTGGTACACAGACATACATGCAGGCAAAACAACCATACATACTAAATATAAATTTCAAAAAATTTAAAGAAATGAATAAATCAGTTCCTTTCCTTCAGGAGGCTTTCCAACCAGTGGGAATAGAACAATCGGGGAGCTGTGCATTATTCTTCATACTCACTTTTCTTTTCAATCATCCTAAGCAACATTCATCTACTCTGTTTAATTTTGGGGATAGGCTGGAGACCAAACCAGGACCTTGAACATGATAAAAATACTCCTGCCCCCTCAAGCTATACCTCCAACGTGCGTGCGTGCGTGCGTGCGTGCGTGCGTGCGTGCGTGCGTGTGTGTGTGTGTGTGTGTGTGTGTGTGTGTGTATGCACACACAAATGGTCACAAGTGCTGTGCAGTACAAGTAAAGTGGTATTATAATAGAATGCCACTGGCCTGGAAGGTTGGAAAAAGCTTCAAAAAAGGGTTATCTGGGCTGGAGAGATGGTTCAGTGGTTAACAGCATTAGCTGTTCTTCCAGAAGTCCTGAGTTCAATTCCCAGCACCCACATGGTGGCTCACAACCATCCATAATGAGATCTGGCATACTTGCAGACAGAACACTGTATACATAATAAATAAATCAATCTTACAAAATGAAGTTAGCCTTAAAAAGGGGGGGGGGGTATCTGTCTCTCTCCTTCCCCCAGGCTTTTGGGTAGAGACCTGGAGCACTTCACTGTGTAGCCCTGAAGGAAACACCCAGGAATTGGCTACCAAATAGTCACAAACTCACTGAGAGGACCTAAAGCCCAGGAATTGGCTACCAAATAGTCACAAACTCACTGAGAGGACCTACAGCCCATCCCATTGAACTCTTGACTTCCTGTTTCTTTTATGGTCCCAAGGAAATTGGTTAAAGAAAGTTGTATTTTGCTTGTGGGAGATTGGGGTACAGGAGAAAGTATCTACCAACCAAGCCACATACCCAGCCCCTGGGTTGGCCTGTGTCCCATTGCTCAGAGCTTTCCACTCTGTTCTGGCAGGTGTGATTCCCTCTACCTGTCAGATGTTGGGTGTCAGAGCCCCAAGGCCAAAAGCCTCGCGCCACAACATTCCCTCTGCTGTATAAATGCTACTTTCTGTTTTCCACAGTGACGTGATGGCCCACTACTCTCTGGACGTACCTTCTTCCTCAGAAAGCACTTATGTTCAGAATCTCTAACTGTGAGTCTGATAGGCCTTTTCTGTTTCTGCAGCCTGACCAGCCGTCTTCTAAGGAGAAGACCCTGGTGTGGATTGCTGTGAATGAGGACGGTGTCAGCATCCTGGACCACCACACTATGGTATGAGAGGAAAAGGCTGTTTCCAATCCTTCTTAAACACTTGTCTTCTCTGCTCTGGACTTAAGAGGCCTGAACTAAGTGGCCATGGTACGGTCCCCTCTCTAAACTCCGCCCCAGCAGTGCTGCCCTTTAGTCTAGACAAGGTGTAGAAACATCAGGATTTAACTCTCCAAATTAGCACCACCACGGGGTCTTCCTTTCCTGGTAAAGGCCCCCTGTGTCTAGAAGAAACAGGTATGGCGTTTCCCCTGACTCAACTGGCTCCTCTCCACAGCAAGTGCACATCACTTATCCCTACTCTTCGGTGACAACGTTTGGTGGCTGCAGGGATGACTTCATGCTTGTGATTAGATCCATTCCAGACCAGGGCTCTGGAAAAAGCCACATCGACAAGTTGATCTTCCGAATGCCTGCTCCCAAGGTGGGTCTGACAGCTGCTACAGTTGACTCTGGCCTGGTGTGACGTGGTGAGCTTGGTGCTTAGAGAGGACACTTTGGACAGGCTCTGCCCCACATACAATCGCTGGCCTCGGTGTGTGAGCAGCATCCCCAAGGGTTCAGTGGAGTAGCATGCCCATCTCACTACGGAGCTGGTACTTGGTGGGAACGACCTGCTTCATTCAGCCATTGGTTGCTGTTCCTCCTTTCTTCAGGAGGGTATTGTGCATCTCAGAGACTCTCTGGGGCCAACAGAGGTACATTTTACTGGGCCTCTAAACATCACAGCAGTCTCTTTGGGGCTTTTCTCCCGAGTGAGCAGTTTAAGAGAGAAAGCAGAGCCCAGGAAGGCTATGTGTACCCAATGTTATAGCCAGTGAGAAAATCAGCATTCAAGACAAGCCTAGTTCAGTTTCTTCATTTCTCTGTCCTCAGATCACAGAAACTACCTTCATGATGGCCAGCTACATGAACCATTGTTCTGCAACTGTGAACCTACCCACCAAGCTGCCTGCAGCCCGCCAGCCCCGAGACCTGGATGGAAAGTTCTTTCCTTCTGTTTCCTGCACTAAGGGGCCAGCTTTGCTGTGAATGTCTCTCCCCACATACCCCTGCCACCACTGGTGCCTCTGGGGTTAGATTTCTATCCCGGAGCATACTACTACTGTGATGGGTCTAATGACCCCTCCCCAGACTGTTCTGTGAAATGTAGATTTCAGGGTCTTTGAAACCTTTGTACCCTTTAGGTGCCTTCGCTTTTAAGGCTCAACCTTTTAAAATCCAGACCCAACATCAAAACCACTTACTTCTTTTACAAGAATACTGACCCTGGATGCTACCTGATTCTAGATTGAGACAGGGATGGCCCATAGTTACCAGGGCCGTGGTACTGTGTTTGGGGCTTCTGCACTGATACTCAGGGAAGCTCTCTTTTTATATTATACGTGGTCCTTATGTGGGGGCTTATACTTGAAGTTTTCCGAACATCCCTGAACAAAATAGGACTAAAATTCCTAATTCACCTCAACTCTGGCAGATGCCTACAAATCTCTAAAACTGGACAACTTTCCTAAATGGAAATACTGGCAGAACTAGAGAAAAATGACAAGTTCCCCTCCTGGTGAGGAGGCATTTGCTATGCCTCTCCCGGGGGGCGGGGGGCAGCAGCTCTAACCTCCCCAGGACAGCACACTGTTCCTGTTAAGAGTCAAGCTTTCTCTCGCACACTGGACTAGCACAGGGGGGTCAGATCCAGGCTGCACCGCCCTGTGTCATTTTAGGCCCGACAACAGGGATGAGGGAAGGCTGTGCTCATCACTACTGAAGGACGAGGTGGTCATCACCCCCCACCCTCTGAAAGACCAAGCACGCGAGTTTTGCTTGTTGCTGCTCTACGAGGCCCGGAGACAACACATCAGGAACACTAAAGTCCCCTCCATGCCCCGAAGGCCTGGATTGCTCACCAACACTTCTGGTAGATGCCTTCTGGAAATTAGCTGGAAGCACAGAACATGTATATAATGTTTGCCCTAGTAATATGTGAAGTAGATAGTTTCTTTCAACTTCTGTCTTCCTGAGAACATCATAATCCCTCTCAACTCAGACTTTGATTTTGGTGAAGATGACCTTTATCTCCACCTTCTCCAAAAAAAAAAAAATAATAATAATAAAAACCAAAAGTCCATACTTTGATTTTCCAACATATAAAAAAAAACAACTAAGTTTATTGTGCAGCTCTAAGGCAGTTCTATCATCTCCCAGTAACATGGATGAGGGGATAGGACCAGCCCCCAGGAAATAAGCCTTTAACCCAATAGTGTGTGTGACACACACTACAAAAAACTGCCAAGCCCGAATTACCATATTTGTCCGATGCCTCAGCTGCTGTAACCTTCCTTTTCTCATCCTTTGAACTGACACAGAACTCTAAAGACCTAAACAAGGCTGACTTGCAAGGCAGGCAGCCATGTCTGTTCCAGCCCCAACTCGTGCCCCAGAACTGGGGTTCTAGTCGACACAGGTCTACCTCAAGCCACATCACTATAGGTCCTGGACCACTCCTTCAAGGCCAGTGTGAAAGGCAGAGTGCAGTTCCAGTGGGCCACATCCCAAGTAGCCCTGAAAGCCAAAAAGGATGTGATCTACTCTCGGGTTGCTTTTGTGAATAGAGTTCCAAAGAATGGAACTGTTTGCACCAGACTTGGAGGTCAGATTAGCTGCCTCCTTTTCTCTCTCTTTAAATTTTCTTTCCTCTTCTCATTCCTTCCCTTCCTTTTGAAGACAAGGTCTCACTAGGAAGTCCTGGCTGTCCTGGAACTCACTATGTAGACCAGGCTGGCCTTGAACTCAGAGCTCCACCTGCCTCCCGAGTGCTGGGATTAAAGGTGTGCACCACCTAGCCCAGCTCCTCTTCTCCTTCCTGAGCTCTAGGAATCTAAGAAGTGCCTTCTTCATCCTTTAACATGACAGTCCCATGTCTGGGAACCAACATGAAATCTCTCACTCTCATCTAAGCCCTCTCTGGCCAAAGCAGCTTTTGAAGCAATAGAAAATACCAAGTAACAGGAAGGTACTAATATGCTTGACACCCATGGCTGAAATGCTATGCCTTCTTGTCAATAAAAAGCTGTCAGTGAACCAGGCAACTACTATGTGTTTTGGATATTTATTTATTTTAGAATTTGAGACAGTGCCTCATCATGGAGCCCAGGCTGGCCTCAAACTTTCACTCCTCCTATTGGCACCTCCTGGGTGCTGGGATTACTGGCATCCACACCACCCCTGGCTAAGCCATGGATTAAGAATCATCCTGCACAGATCATAGGAGCTAGGTGGACAGAGGCTAGCCATGTAAAGCATTTTACTCCTGCTAATTCATACATAAGAAAACGTGACTTACTTTTTTCCCTAGCTTTTAGACAAGAGTTCATGCAGATGGAAATTATACTTTTCTTGTAGAATCTGGTACCAGTTTCAATAGTCCACAGATTTTTAACACAAATATGAATGTGCTTAGAAATTTCACAGAGTGTTCTTCCTGTACATTACCCTTGGGGGGGGGGGGGGACAGGGGAACAGTCCTCACTATGTAGCCCTGGATGGCCTCAAACTTGAAATCACCTGCTTCTGCCTCTTGAATCCTAGAGTTAAAGGCATGTACCACTATCCCTGGCCTAGTGTCAAAATCCTTAAGGTCTCCCCTTGATTAGTAATGTAGATAAAACCTATAAGGGTAACTTTATTTATTTATTTATTTATTTATTTATTTATTTATTTTTGGTTTTTCGAGACAGGGTTTCTCCACGTAGCTTTGGAGCCTGTCCTGGAACTCACTCTGTAGACCCAGCTGGCCTCTAACTCACAGAGATCGCCTGCCTCTGCCTCCCGAGTGCTGGGATTAAAGGTGTGTGTCACCACTGCCCAGCAGGGTAACTAAGACATCAAAATACTGAGTCAAGTTCCAGCTGCCTCCTCTATGGCTCTGAGGTCTACTCATCCATTTGAGTCCCAGGACTGTGTCCACCTAATAATTTTTACAGTACAGAAAATAAACCAGCCACTATGGTTTAGGAGTCCTCTCCCATAAAGACAATAGTGGTCTTTGAATGCTGAGATTCATGGGCTTGTTGATGTGGCTTTCTGGTGTGCCAGAATCTCCTGGCAGCTCCTGTATACTTCAATCAAGCAGTCCAACCGGGGCTTGGCACTCTGAATTCCAAAGGGGAGAAATGCAGAGTCAAGGAGAATAGAAGAAGAACCCACCTCAACCTCCTCTCCCACATACACCATGGTACCACAGTGAGCTAAGAGACACAAGGTCAAGACTCCGAGCACTTTGCTGGGAAGTCTCAAAATCTGGCCTTTGTGGGAAATAAAAAGACAACTTTTTTGTTGTTGTTGTTTTGAGACAGAGTCTCTCTGTGTATCTTGGCTGTTCTGGAATTCACTATGTAGACCAAGGTGGCCTCAAACTCAGAGATCTGCCTGCCTCTACCTCCCAAATGCTGGGATTATAGGCATGCAAAATACAGCTTTTAGCCTGACAAAATTATATGACAGTGAGACAGACTATCTCAAAAAGTGTTACAAGTTGTGAAATACACCTCAGAGACAATATGGGCAGTTTAATATGTACATTCTGAAAAGATTTTGTATTATAAAATGTAACATAACTAAAATTAAAAGACAAGCCACAGAATAGGAAAATTATATGTAAAAAGTCTATTTAATAAATGTTTACTATTCAAACAGCACAAAATTATTACAAATACATAACTGATTTCTAGGTTCTACTCAGCTAGTAGAGGAAACTGAGTTTAAAACAAAGAAGATTACAGGCTTGTGCCACCAGTCAGTTTTTATTGTAAAATCAAAAGAAAAGATAATCTAGACATTATTTAAAACCTAGCAATAAAATAGTTAAATAAACAAAATAATAGAACATAATCATTTAAAATAAGTATACTGGCTGTGATAGAAAAGACAGGCAGATAGTTATAGATAGATAAAATATCTCAACCTCGCTAATATCAATGTAAAATTATACAATGGTAGATTGACAGATGAAGTAGAAGAATGTGATTTGTAAGCAGAAGTGGTTATATGATTGATAATTGTCTTCTCTAAAATCTTTGTGACTTACTAATATTTTTTAAAGTGTATCCTCATCAAAGAGGGGGAAAAGATCCTAACTTTTACTCATCTCCAATACTCTGAAAACAGAAATTCAAATCCAACTGAACGAAAGGGGCATGGGTGAGCAGATGGAGAAAAAAAGATTTCACAGGAGAAAGAACACTGCACTCACCTGGAAGACAGGAACTACTTGGGATATCTCCTGTGGCTTTGCTGGATCCTTCAATAAAATGCAGAGGTAGTAGATCACCTTCTGCTGTAAGAAAAGACACCACACAGAGGGCTCAGTGAGACTCACCTTGTTTCCTTTTCCTTCAAGGGAAGACTAAAATCCTTTTCACAAACATCTAAGTAGTGAAATATCTGACAACTTCTGAAGTAGGAAAAAGTTTATTTTCATCCTTTATTTTTATTTTATATATATAAAAAATCTTTTTGTTTTGTTTTTACTGAGACAGAACCTTACTATGTATCCCAGGCTAGCCTGGAACTTGCTATGTACACCAGTTTAGATCCCAGCACACTCCATCAGCTGCCTGCCTCCTCTGGAGAGCCCAGAGCTACCACCTAAACACCTACCATGTAAATAGCCTCATTGATGATAATGTCCTTGACCTTGTCCATCTCTATGAAGGTGGTACTTTCTTTGCCTGAAGCATAGGATGAAGTCATCTGGATGCCAAGTGAATCGATGATTAATAGAGTCTCCTGATCAATCTTCACAAAGTGGAGGTAACCAAGCAGGCCTATGATGGTGATGAAGATGGCAGCAGAGAGGATCATGCTATTCTGAAGAGAGAGCCAGACAGGCAGGAAGATTACCAAATGCTCCTATGCAAGTATTTACGCCACACAGCGAGTTAAACGGACAATGCGGGAGAAGGCCTTTGATCTGGTCACTATGCTGTGAGGTGAATAGATGAGGCAAAATGCATGAAGGGGAAATCACTTTCTCTTGAGCTCCTGAATTGTTTGAACAGCACATAGAATGAAAAGGATCCAGACTACTAATGAATAGGTCTGGGAAGCTCCCAGCAAAACATCCGCCATCACATGTATCTCAGAAAATCTTCTTCCCAAAATTACAGCTTAAGGACCCAGAGCTTTCCCTCTCACATTCCCCCTGCAAAATATATAGCACAAAACTGCAGACAGAGCAACTGTGAAGTGCTCAGCACAGGAGCAGAAACTAATCCCTGATGATAAATAGCCACTTACATTTTTCCTAATTTTGGAATAAATTTTGATTGGTTTACAAGTGGACACATGTTGCAACCCTGGCCAATGAGATGTGGTAGTCAGAGTCTACGGGAAGAGGCCAATTTATTAATTATATCTTTTAAAAGATGAGTAGAAAAACGGATAAAGGTAAGTGGGGCTGGGGAGGTGCAGAGGGCATTAAGATGAAAGCATCCAGGAATAAGCCTACAAGGCAGGACTTAACTGGTGCAGAGATTTATTAGAAGGTTAGCGGTTTCTGGTGGGTACACTCTTCCACAGACAGCCAGGCTGAGGACTGAGAGTACACTGGGGGCATCTGTGTGAGAGGAGCCCAGGAATAAGAACTCAAACAGGGCAGGAACCTGGAGGCAGGAGCTGATGCAGGGGCCATGAAGGAGTGCTGCTTACTGGCTTGCTCCCCATGGCTTGCTCAGCCTGCCTTATATAACTCGGGACCACCCAGCCAAGGTTGATGGGCCCACACACATCAATCATCAATCAAGAAAAAAATGTACCACAGGCTTCCCATGGGCCAATCTGGTAGGGGCATTTTCTCAAGTGAGGTTTCCTCTCCCAAAATGACTCGAATTTCTGTTGTTGACATAAAAACTAACCAGCACACGTACAGTAGGTAAAATTCAGTAACTCTGGACCACATTCAAGAAGCCAGGAAGTGTCTTGCTCTTTGTACCCATCAGCCCCCTTTAGCTTGACTCAATTTAGACTCAGATTCTAAGTATTCTACGACCTCAGCATCTGTCTTTAATGGGCTTGGACTGCCCTGTCAGTCAGGAATTGTGCTGAGTAAGAGAGGTCATCACATGCACTGTATCAGATCACACTGTCCTTTGGGGCAAACCCCAATGACTAAATACCCTCCACAGGCCCCATCTCTGAAGGTTTCCACATTTTGTTTGCTGTTGGTTTGTTTCTGTTTTTTTAAGAAGAGACTTAGGAGGAGATATCAAATCTAAACTGTAGCATCCACCTTCTGCAATGATGCTAACTGGACAAGTATGGTGGTGCATGCTTTTCACACCAGTACTGGGGAGGCAGAGGCAGATGGATCTGAGTTCCAGGCCAGCCAAAGCTGCATAGTGAGACCTTGTCTCAAAACAAAACAAAACCCAGCCAGGCACGGTGGTGCACTCCTTTAGTCCTAGCGTTCCGGAGGCTAAAGACAGGCAGATCTGTGAGTCTGAAGCCAGTCTGGTCTACAGAGTAAGTTCCAAGCCAAAGAAGGCTACACAGTGAGACTCTGTCCCTAAAAAAACAACAACAACAAAGAACAAAAAAACAGGTTGGAGGGCTGGAGAGATGGCTCAACAGTTAAGAGCACTGACTGCTCTTCCAGAGGTCCTGAGTTCAATTCCTAGCAACCACATGGTGGCTCACAACCATCTGTAATGAGATTTGGCGCCCTCTTCTGTATACATAATAAATAAATAAATCTTTAAACAAAAAAAAAAAAAAAAGAAAAAGAAAAGTTTAAAAAAAAAACAGGTTGGAAAGACAGCTCTCCACTAGCTGCTCTTCCACAATTTCCAGCACCCACACAGTAGCTCACAACTGTCTGTTATTTCAGTTCCAGGGGATCTGACACCCTCTTCTGACCTCCTCGGGCACCAGGCACATATGTGGTGCACAGACATACAGGCAAAACACCCATACACATAAAATTTAAATAAAAAGGACAAAAAGAATATGGGACAGAGACCTACAAAGCCTAAAATATTAATTTGGCCTTTTAAAGAAAAGGCTTGCTGACTTCTGTTCAGATAGTTATTTTTGGCTGATAAATAGGAGTTAGAGCTGGGCCTCTGATGACCCAGAAACATCTAGTTTCAAGTAATTAACTTCCAGGTGTACGGCACTGTCTTGTAAACAGTCCAAATTGAATAAGCATTGTGGAAGAAAGGCAAGATCGAGCCCTCTACAGGTTTATTAGATGCAAGGTTGATACACAAGAGTCTAGAATGCTGTGTTACTGATTATAAGTGTCAAAGGAAGGGAGTGGAGGGGGAGAGAGGGAGAGAGAGAGAGAGAGAGAGAGAGAGAGAGAGAGAGAGAGAGAGAGAGAGATGGAAGCACACAGGACTATTCCATGAAGACTTCCAAGTGAGCAGGACCTCATGAGTGCAGAGCAGGTAGTGCACACTGAATGGGTACACTTTGCTGAAGGACTGAAGCCCCGCAGATTGGAATAATGTTCACAGAACTGTGAATTCCAAAAAGAAAAAAAAAAAGGAGTTGGGGATTTAGTTCAGTGGTAGAGCGCTTGCCTAGCAAGCACAAGGCCCTAGGTTCGGTCCTCAGCTCTGACAAAAATAACAACAACAAAAAACCAAAACCAAAACCAAAAAAAAAAAAAAACAAAAACAAAAACAAAAAACCCTGTAAACTCAAAAGCAAGGAGCATGACAGGATGCAGGATGAAGAACAGTAAATGCTTAGGGAATTCTACCCACGAAGCTTTCTGTTCAGATAATCCCTCAAAGTCCATCTTTCTGGCTAAAATTCTAACAATGCACTATTCATTTGAGTCAGGGGTAGGCCACATGTTTGAATGTCTCCTTTGAGAGTTCTTTTCACTGCAGATATTCATTACCTTCATGAATAATTCTGAATAGCAGAAAAGATCTGAAATTTTGACACACAGCCCTGGGGAAGTGTTGGAGTGTAAGGGAGCATGCATGACTTCTGTACTTGGGGGACATTAGGGTAAACGTGCAAGAGAGAGGTGAGTACAGTAGGGAGCCAGCACAACCAACTTTGAGCTGGGGGTGGTATACACACCTGTAATTGCAGCACTTGACAGGGGCTGAGACAGGAGGATGGAGAGTCTGAGGACAGCCTAGGCTACATAACAAGGTCCTGTATCTCAAAACACACCAACAAATAACAAACATAACTGCCTGAGATCTGTTAGACTAAAGTACAAGGGATTTCAAAGTCAAGCAGCTCTGGGTTTGAAGCCCAGATCTGCCACTTTGCCAACATCAAGACTATTACATTATTACTCTTTCTGAACCTCTTTTTTCTACTAAGGTTGAAGTACGAAATTCAGGAAAAGAGCTGGCACGCTGGGCATTTAATAAACATCTGTTCCTCCTTTAAGATAACTGCATAGGTATCTGGAACTTAGGCTAGCATTAAAAATTCAACCGGGCATGGTGATGTATCCCCTTAATATCAGCACTAGGGACAAAAGGCAGGTGAATGTGAGTTCGAGGCCAGTCTTGTCTACATAATGAGTTCAAACCTGCCAGGATTACATGGTGAGACACTAATGCCCCTCTGCTGTGGAATAATCCTTTTGCACATTGTGAAAATGTGTTGCTCTCATTGTTAATAAAGAGCTGATTGGCCCACAGCTAGGCAGGATTTTCGGGGCAGAAAAGAATGCTGGGAAGAAGAAGGGCGGAGTCTGAGGAGTCCAGGGCCAGAAGCAGAAGCAACATGGGACGTTTACAGATGAGCAAGCCTGAGGCAGCACACAGATGAATAGAAATGGGTTGGTTTAAATTGTAAGAGCTGGCTGGAGATAAGCCTAAGCTATTGGCCAAACATTTATAATTAAGTCTCTGTGTGGTTATTTGGGAGGGACTGCCAGGACACAAAGAAACTCCATCTACATCCCTCCCCCTCCCAAAAAAAGAATAAAAATTCAACTATATTATAAATTTGGGGGGAGGGTTAGGTCAACTTAATAACTTCAACTGACCTGTGAAGAAGCTTTTAGAAACAAATTAGGGTCTTTAAAATATACTATTTATTTTTATGTTTTGTTTTGTTTGAGACAGGGTCTCACTGTGTAGCCCTGGTTGTTCTGGAGCTCGGGATGTAGACTGATGTAGATCAGGCTGGCCTCGAACTCGCAGAGATGCTCCTGCCTCTGCTTCTCTAGTGCTGGGATTAAAGGTGTGCACCACCACACCCAGCATACTATGTATTTATTGTGTGGAAGTCAGAGGACAACTTTTGGGAATCGGTTCTTTCCTTCCGTCATGTGGGTTCTGGGGCTTCAACTAAGGTCATCAGGGAGGCAGCAGAAGCCCTTACCTCCTGAGCCATCCCCACGGCCCTAAATTAGTGGACTTAATTTCATCTATTTCTATGTAAATTATTATGCTCTGCTATATGCTTTGATGGTATAAAAGCTAATGGGCCAGGTGTGATAAAACACAACCTTGATCCCAACTCTAGGGAAGAGGAGGCAGGCTCTACATAGCTTGGCCTATAATCCAGTTTCAGGCCAGCCTAAGTACTACGTATACTGAGACAAAAAAAAAAAAAAAGAAAAAAGAAAAAAAGAAAGAAAAAGCGAATGGATGTTCTAATACAAACAATATGCAAATTACAGAATAAACAATAGACAGTTCTGGTGTACTTGGCTCTCGCGAGACCACACCTGGAATAATATATTCATTTCAGGGCATTGTACAGGGAACTAGAACTCATCCTGAGCAAGGGCCAATTGGAAGGTCCTTTTTACTTGAGAACTGTCACAAACTCACAGCATTTGACCTTCACAATATCATGAAACATCATCAATGCCATCTTAGACACGTGAAAAAATGAGGCTCAGAAAAAAACAACAACAAAACACTAGAAAGTCCAGAAACCGAGCACAGGAAACAGGCCATGTCTTAAGTCTGGCAATTCTTTAGAGAGTGCACTTAAATTGGGGGAGGATTGGGAGAGGGGAGGTAGTTTACATGGCTTAGAAACGCAGAGATGAGGAAGAAACAGAGCGCTCCTTCCGTAGACACACGTGCACAGCCGTGCGGGCAAAAGCACTTTTCTGGAAGTCTGTGCTAAGCTGGCTATCACAGGCACCGAGGATGGAGGAGGAGCATGCACTGACAGTTCTCCGAGGAGGGACGCTGTGGGGGTGCGCAGGGCAGCCACCCACTGAGGGAGAACGCCCAGGAGCACAAACTTCTTGGGGCGAACAGTCCGGCCCCGGGACGGCATCCCGGATCCAGGGAACCCCCACCCTCCGGCCCGGGTCCACGGGTCAGCCCCGGCCTTTACCTCGCACAGCGTGAAGAGTCCGTAGGCCGCCAGCCACACGGCGCAGGTGACCGCGGTGAGCGAGCGCAGCGACAGCCGAGCCGAGCTGAGGCCGAACTCGCGGCAGTACGGCGAGTAGTAGCGGCGCCGCAGGGCCAGGCGCCCGCCGCAGATATCCGAATAGCTCTTCTCGTCCTCCATGGCCGCGGGCGCCCGGCGGGGGGCGCCGCTCTAGCCCACCAGGAGGACCGACGTCTCGCTGGCTCCGGACCCTTCCGGAAGCGGCTCGGCCCCGCCCACCACACGCTCCGCGCAGCCGCAGTTGCGCACCGAGAGCAGGGCTCGGGGTTTGAAGCTGGTTCTCCCAGTTTGTCCCTAGCCCAGACTCTCCAGATTCCTGGCACCAGTTTTGGACAGATTAAGATCGCTGTTCACTCGACTGACTCATTTATATTGCTACGCCAGAGTGAGCCCCAAGAAAGGGCCCACAGGTATATTCATTCATTTCACGCATTCATTTCCTTGCGAAGGCATTTTAGGTACTGAAGATCCCTGTTCCCGCATAGCTTCTTTTCTAGTAGGAAAAAGCAATGTAGATGTAACTTAAAATAGTATTATTAGCAAAAATGTTCAGACCGGTAGAGAAAGACTGGGCCACCTTAAATAAAGGTCTCATCACTAAACCTAAAAGGATGAGGGTCGCGCTGGTCTGGGGGATGTTGGGAGAGAAAGCCTCCAGAAAGAAGAAGAAGAAGAAAAAAAAAAAAAAAAAAAAAAAACAGGAAAAGGCAAAGCTCGGAGACCTGGAACAAGGTTAAGTCACAGGAATATAAAACAAAACAAAACACGAGTAGCTAGTATGCACAGGAAGACAAATTAGGAACGTAAGTAGGACTAAGATTTAGGTTTGGACTGGGCAGATGGCTCAGCTGTTAAGAGTATGTTAATTCCAAAGATAGGAAGAGAAAGACCGCAGACACAATCGTCATGGCCACATTAACTAAAGCAAACAATTAAAGCCAGCTTTTCCGAAAATTCACCTACAGGGCTGCTTCCCCGCTAAGGCAGGGTTCAAGGGTCATTGTTGGGTGTGAGGAAGACAAGGCTTTTATAGCTCAAGAGGAGGGGTTTCCAAATGGGGGATTTGGCAGACAAAACAGGTGGGATTACAGGAGCAGGACATAAGCATAACAAGTTAGTCCCTCCTGAAACAAAGACAAGGTTGCAAGATGGGCATTACACGGTAATCACAGGTGCTCATATAACCTTTTGAAACAAAGGTTTGCAAGACAGTTATCAACAACTTTTTCAAAAAGACATGATTGCCATTCCTGGAACAGGCAGTACAGAACCATTTGTAGTTAAGGTTACATGTGGGGCATAGCCCAATCCTTGAAAAACAGGTTTAATCATGAATAGGAATAAACCTAGTTTGTCTTTATTATAAAATGGCTTTTGGGGCTGGAGAGATGGCTCAGTGGTTAAGAGCACTGGCTTTCAGAGATCTGAGTTTGATTCCCAGCAACCACATGGTGGCTCACAATCATCTGTAATGAGATGTAGCACCCTCTTCTGGCATTCAGGTGTACATGCAGGCAGAACACTGTATACATAATAAATAAATCTTAAAAAAAAAAAGTCAGGCAATATACAGTGCATGAAAGTAATCTTTACTTCTGATGATCGGTAATTATTTCTACTGTTGAGTTTTTCTGAGAGCTTGAGACACTATAAATATGAATAATAAAGAAACAAATGTAATCAAATGATTCAACTGACTTTTCATTCTGAGGCTCAGACTAGGTTCTTAAAATCTTTTTACGGAGCTCTTGCTTTAGTATTTACTTACATGTAGACTTAGTAGTTCTAAGAATACTGTGTTAGGAGCCATCCAGATGGCTCTGCAGGTAAAGATACCTGCCTCCAAGGCTCAGATCTTGAGTTTGATTCATAGAACCCACGTGGTGGGAGGAGACAGCCATCTCCCACGAGTTGTGCTCTGATTGCCACATGCTCACTGGTTATGGCATGCACACACACACACACACACACACACACACACACACACACACATTTTAAAGAATGCTGTCTTATAGTATAGCTTTTTTTAAATTTGATTTTGGTGGGAGATATCTCAAAACAAGTCTCATTCTATAGCCCAAGGCAGCCTCCAACTTGAGATCCTTCAGCCTCAGCCTTCTCTGAAGGGTGTTGGGGGTATGTTGTAGTTCATGTGAGAAAGCTACAGGCCACCATACATATAAGGCCAAACTAGAGTCGTATTGGCCAGTGGCCATGAGCAGGTGGAGCCTCAGACAAACTCTCAGGCCCAAAGCTTAGGGGCAAAATCCACAATGACGTCACCGTCAGGCATAGGTCAGAGAACCTGGTGACAATCGTTTGGGCTCTACATTCAGCAGATATTTTGGTTATACATTTGAACCATGGTCAGGGTCACAGAAGGTCTTGAATGTGTTGCCAAAGCAGACGTGACTCTTCATGGGTTAAGGGGCCAAAAAGTACCTGAGCAGACATAAAATGGAGTCATGGTAAGATCAGGACAACTGACATTTCCTTAGTCACTTCAGTTAAAGGCATACACTACAATGCCTGGCTTCTGTTGAACTGTTTTGTGCATTTTAAGATATATGCAAATATCTTAGTTACTTTTCTATGGCAGTGACAACATACTATGACCAGGGCAACTTATATAAGAAAATATTTAATTGGGTCTCACCATTCCAGAGGGTTAGAGTCCACGACCGTCATGGCAGGGAGCATGGTGGGAAGCAGGCAGGCATGGTGCTGGAGCTTACCTCTGATCCATAAGCACAAGGCAGTGGGAGCACCAACTGGAATAGCGTGGGTTTCTGACATTTCAAAGCCAACTCCCAGTGACACACCTTCTTCAACAAAGCCACACACCTCCTCATCCTTCCCAAACAGTCCCACCTATTAGAGGCCAAGTATTCCAATATAAGTGTCTATGGGGGCCATTCTCATTCAAACCATTACAGTGAAAAAAAGTCTACCATCTATCTACCATCTCCGTACTGGCTCTGTTAATTGTCTATTTCATTTAAATTGAGATTTTTCTGATTCTCAGAGGGGTGTGTGTGTACACTTGTGGTGGAGATTGAACCTTGGCCCTCAAGCATGCCGGTGGTTTTGTTGTTGTTGTTTGTTTATTTGTTTTGTTTTGTTTCCCTGTCTCTTAGTATAATGAGTGACTTTCAATTGAAATCTGGGAGTATGGGATATTTTGAAATGTGGCCTTATTTAAATTTGTTATGTTAGGACTCTTCTGCCACTAGTGTGTCAAGGAAAGAGGTCCCTACAGCATTATCACCGAGTAGAGGTGGAAAGAAGTTCAGGCTCGCTTAGCCTCCCCTTAGTCTGGCTGGGGAGGTGGTGTTTGTACCCAGTGGCTGGGTGGAAGTCGGTCTTCCTGAGTGTTCTCCTGAGTAGAACTAGAAGGGGCTCCCACTGCTCTACATGGAGGGAAGTCCTTGCTGCACCCTAGTGGCCGGATGTGGCAAGTCCTTAGACCTGGTGAAGATTTGGGTCTCAGCCTCTGCTGACAGAGCTGGGAGCAAGACCACACTTTTTCCTGTGGTGTTTGGCAAGAAGAGTTTTATAGTTTAAAGTTTTCTGTCTCTCTCCTCTGGCAGGGGGAAGCAGGTTTTCCTCCCTGCATTTTGTGTGTGTGTCTACTGGCATCGACACATCACTCTTTTCTTTTGCATCCAGTCTGAGGTACACAAGGAAAAAGTAAAATCATGGAATGAAGCTCTCTGTTACCCCTCAGGCCCAGGATCCCTGGCCAGTCTGCAGGAGTGAAAGGGTGTAATGCCTTTTCAATACCTGTCACAAAGCTCATGGCCAACATGCCTATAACCAAAGATGGGTTAATAAGGAAAACTGTAATTATTATTATCATTACTGGTCTTTTGAGACAGGGTTTCACTGTGTAGCCCTGGCTATCCTGGAACTCACTCTGTAGAACAGGCTAGCCTCAAACTCACAGAGATTTGCCTGCCTCTGCCTCCCGAGTGCTGGGAATAAAGGTGTGTGCCACCATACCCAGCCAGGCTAGTGTGATTTGAACTGTGCTAGTGCGTACCATTTTGTAAAGAAAAATGAACAATTTGGGGATTGTACCTATTTCTATAGACTTTATAATTCATTTAAAATAGCTGTGTGTCAGCCATTAAGGTGGCTTATCCAATAAAGGAGTTTGCCACCAAGCCTGGCACCCTAATTCCAATACCCAGAATTCACATGGTGGAGGGAGAGAACTGCTGTCCTCTGGTCTTAGTTTCTATGTCATGCACCACCCTGCCCTTTATTTAGGGGCTTCAGGGATGGCTCAGCAATTAAGAGTGTTGCCTGCTCTTTCAGAGGACCCGTTTCCAGCGTTCATATTGTATCAGGTCAAACTGCCTGCAACTCCAGCTCCAGGCAACCTTATGCCCTCTTTTGGCCTCTCCAGGCACCCATACAAGGCAAAAGACAAAAGTAATGGTGAGGTCTAGAGCAGTGATAAAGAGACCAACACTGACTCCAAAGCCAACTTGTGAGTTCCAGGCTAGCCAGAGCTACCTAGTGAGACTGTGTCTAAAATAACTCCCAAAACAAAACCAACACTGTTAAAACAGTAACCTTATTTTTTTTAAAACTATTGTTCTACCGTTTTCCCACTCAATGAAAAAGTCTAGTAATTAGCCTATGTAAGAAAAAAGATCCTGGTGCAAACCCTTAATCCTAGCATCGGGAGGCAGAAGTAGGCAGATCTCTGTGAGTTCAAGGTCATCCTGGTCTACATGGTGAGTTCCAGAACAGCTGGGACCACACAGAGAAGCTGTCTCAAACAAAATAAATCAAAATGATGAATGTCAGGGATATTTCTCAGCTTTAGCAAAAACACGAGGACCAGAATCCAGATCTGAAGCTTGCTGGGTGGGCATGATGGCCCATGTGTAATTCCAGAACACTAGAGACCAGGGATCCCCAGAGCAAGATGACCACATAGACTACTCAAGTTGGGGAGCTCAGGGTCCAAGTGACAGACCTTCTGTCAATATAGAAAGCAGTTAAGGGGTTGGGGATTTAGCTCAGTGGTAGAGTGCTTGCCTAGCAAGCACAAAGCCCTGGGTTCGATCCTCAACTCCAAAAAAAAAAAATTAAAAAAAAAAAAAGCAATTAAGAAAAACACCTGGCTTTAACATGGGGATTTTACACACATATGTACACATGTCCGTTCACCTGCACAAACACTTGTGTATACAC